GGCCAGTTGCGGCGAGCGCACGCGCCGCTGCCCAACGGTCTGCCACTAAATCTGCACTTTTTAAATATTACCGAGCCACAGATTAAATTTATATTTAGACAGTAGTTTTAGTGCTTTATCCTATTCACTTAACTTAAGCGTAAAATGATCTTATGTAGACTGTGATTCTGTTAAATTAGTTTTTTCTTTGTTGTTGATTAGTGCTTGCGTTTGAAAATATTTTATTTTTCTTAATTGTTACATATCTCCTTACATATCCTTACTCATGTAAAATCTGATTGTTAACAATCAAATTGGTATGAATGAGAAACCTTAAAACTTTACTCTAACATCTAATGTTAAAACCAAAAAAGGTCGAAATGTTTGTTTTTTATTTTTGTTTTTATTTTCTTAAATTAAACAGCATAAAATTCATTAAGTTAGTTTTATTTAATCTATATTACTTTGCATGAATTGCATGCAATTAGAAGTTTGTCTTCTTTAATTGTGCTGGTGACAAAATCATGACATGATCATGGTGTCGCAGCAAAAGTTTTATTTTTTTTTAAATAACACCCATTTATCTGATAAACATATTAACTTATTGTGTTGGCACAATCATTTAACAATGTCTATAGAAATAAGGTAAATTACTATTACTTTACCAATATTATAAATGTGAAAGTTTAGATGGATGGATGTATGGATGGATCGATGTTTGTTAAGAGTTTGTAGTCTTCACGGCTGAACGGATGTCTATGAAATTTTGCATGGGTGTAGAGGATAGTTAGGAACACATAGGCTATTTAGTTTTGTTTCTTTCAATTCCACGCAGAGTTGCAGGCGAAATCTCGTTTCTAATATTTTTAGAATAGTTCTCAAGTAAAGCAGGCAATGTCTTTCTATTGGCTATTCTCCAACAAGACTTAAAATACGCAATAGCGTTTATCGTAGATATATTTCTATTGGAGCGGGTGTTTGATGTGTTGGTTGTGTGTAAGGGCGCGCGGGCGCGGCTGCGGCGGGCTCCCCCGAGGCGCTGCACGACTACTGGCGCTCCGTATCCTCCATCAGCGACGCGGACGACGTCGACGCCATACTCGAGTACAATGTGAGTCACCATACTCAATATCTGCATAAAGTACCTTAGAAAGACTGATTTTAATAGGTTATTTTGCAGGATACGCTGTTCGATATCCTGCTGAACAGTCTGTCTCTGGAGAGCGGCGGCGCGGAGTGCGAGGAG